TCAGAAGCCATGCAAGACTAATGATGTTATGTACGATGCCATGCTGTATACGCTGATATGCAATATGATCCCCCGATATGCAATGGTAGGACATGTATGCTGTGTGTGACTGCCATGTGCTATGCGAATTACAATGTAATGGCTTGTGTTACGCTATGGTGTGCCATGCTGTGTTTGATATGGCATGTGTGTCGTGTTATGCTGTGCTATGCTACGCTTGTGAACATTAACGATGAGCCAACACCAGAGTGTCTAGGCACCAACTGTGCGTATGGCACGACGACCACCAAACGTTCCCGCACACGAGACGCATGATCGGCCTGCTACAACGTCTACTCAAGGAACTCCTGATGGCAAAGAATAGACGGACGAGGCGCACGAACGAAGGGGAAGATGGAGGAGAAGAGTGGAGGAGCAGCACGAGCATGAACAGGACGAGCTTACTCCAAGCGGCAGCGGAGGATACGGATCAGGATGCTGAGGAGGGGAAGGGGGAGGAACAGTAGGAGGGGGAGGGGGAGGAGATGGGGAGGAGGAGTGGAAGGAGGAGGAGCACGAGATGAAGGACAAGATGGAGGGCAACGTGAGACAATGCGGCGCCTCCCAACAGCGTCAAGAGAGGACGGCTGGCCTCACGTGGCCGAAACGAGGCGTTCGGGCTCGTGGGAGCCACGAGGCGGAGAAAGAGGAGGACGCATACCAGGGGGTCATAAGGGCGCGCTAGAACTACAGCCAACCCGCAGAGTAAGGATGCGCGATAAGGATGCAAGGACCTTGGACGCCCATTTCGAAGCGTTTCGAGCGGGGCGCGGCCAACGAAAGTGTCCAAGGATGGACCCTGGAAGCAAGGATGCAAGGGTACCCTGGGGAGGGATGCCTATCCTTACTCTGCGGGTCGACTGTAGGAGACAGAGAAGAGAGAGAAACGTAGGCTTTGTATGCTCAGACTGAGGTCTAAGGACACACACGAGTACGGTCGGCCTCATCCATACAGAAGACACCTGCACGTCCACGATCCGAAGGGACAATTGCGCACTAGGCTCTTGCAAACACCAACACCAACCATGCCCGGCCAGCGCCACCGTGGGCCCTGGCATTGGGGTGCCCAGATGAGGAGGAGGAGGAGGAGAGAGGAGGAGGAGGAGGAGGAGAGGGGGAGAAGGTAGGAGGGGGAGGAGGAGGAAGGAGGAGGAGGTAGGGGGAGGAGGAGGGGGAGGGGGAGGAGGAGGTGGGAGGAGGAGGAGGAGGAGGAGGAGGAGGAGGAGGAGGAGGAGGAGGAGGAGAGGAGGAGGAGGGGGAGGGGGAGGGGCGAGGGCGAGAAGGAGGAGGTGGAGAGGAGGAGGAGGGGAGGAGGAGGAGGAGGAGGAGGAGGCGGAGGAGGAGGAGGAGGAGGACGAGGCGGGGGGAGGAGGAGGAGGTGGGAGGAGAGGAGGAGGAGGAGGAGGCGAGGAGGAGGAGGAGGAGGAGAGGAGGAGGGGAGGCGGAGGAGGAGGAGGAGGAGGAGGAGGAGGAGGAGAGGAGGAGGAGGAGGAGGAGGAGGAGATGGGCAACGAGGAGCTCCCAGGAAGCCCAAAGCGGGACACGCGAGGCAGCGGCACGCGGCATGGGTGGCTACGACCTTCTCCTGTAGGAGAAGGAAAAACAGCATATGGCCAGGAACTTCCTTGGACCTTGGGGGGGACTGTCAGTCTTGATGGGCTTAAGGAGGAGGAGGAGAAGGAGGAGGAGGAGGAGGAGACAGGAGGAGGAGGAGGAGGAGGAGGAGGAGGAGGAGGAGGAGGAGAAGGGGAAGAGGAGGAGGGGAGGAGGAGGAGGGAGGAGGAGGAGGAGGAGGAGGAGGAGGAGGAGGAGGAGGAGGAGGAGGGGGGAGGAGGGGGAGGAGGGGGGGAGGAGGAGGAGGAGGATGAGAAGGAGGAGGAGGAGGAGGAAGGACGGAGGAGGAGGAGGAGGGAGGGGGATGAGGAGGGGGAGGAGGAGGGGAGGATGGGGGAGGCGAAGGAGGGGCAGCGAGGGCCTCCCAGGAAGCCCCCAAAGCGGGACAAGCGAGGCAGCGGCAGCGGCCTGGGCCACTGCCTTCTCCTGTGGGAGAAGGAAAAACAGCATGTGGCCAGGAACTGTTCCTTGGATCCTTGGGGGGGGCTGTCAGTCTTGATGGGCTTTAAGGAGGAGGAGGAGGAGGAGGAGGAGGAGGAGGAGGAGGAGGAGGAGGAGGAGGAGGAGGAGTTGGAAGGAGGAGGAGGAGAAGGGGGAGGAGGAGGGGGAGGCGGAGGAGGAGGGGCCTCCCAGGAAACCCCCAAAGCGGGACAAGCGAGGCAGCACCGCGGGCGTGCCCCGGGCTCGCCCGCGCGCCGACCACGAGAAAACCACCACAAGAAACCCCACCCTGAGACCACGGGCTGTCTACTGATGTTTGATAGGGTTAAGTCGGGCGTGTCCCCCTAAAGGGGGATGTTGGACGAACGTTTTAAAATATACTCAAAACATACCCCCAAAATGGCACCAAAAATACTCCAAACATAGCCCCCAGGTTATTTTTGATTTGGACGAACGTTTTAAAATATACTCAAAACATACCCCCAAAATGGCACCAAAAATACTCCAAACATAGCCCCCAGGTTATTTTTGATTATTTTTGAATATTCCCCCTGTAGAGGGACAGGCCCGACTTAATGATAGGGGGACGTCACGGCTTCCATCGCAAAACCGTCGAATCCCAAGAGACCCAGGGCACCCTGGAGGCCAGCAAGGCGCTTCTTGGCACGGGCTCCCAATGACCGATTCTCCCCCCCTTCCCTGCTCTCTGCCTGTGGGCACCTCTTGCCGGCGGGGAGCCCGGGGGGGAAGTGAGAAGCGGCGGGCCTTCTCAGAAGACACGAAGTCCCCGGGCCTTCTGTTCCAAGCCTTCCGCGAAGACAGGCAACTTCTCAAAGGCGCGGGGGCTTCTGAGAAGTCCCGCCGCCTTTTGAGAAGGCCTTCCCCTTCTCACTTCCCCCGCTCGCTCGCCGTCGAACCTCTTGTGCTGATAGAAAAATATATACGGCATCGCCCTCCTGCCCCCAGGCCAGGCGGACCTGCACCCGCACCCCCGAGGGGCAACGATAGGGGGGGATGCATCGACCTGGAATCGGCGATGCATCGCCGACAGATCGGCGATGGGCCTCCGATAGTGAATCCGCACCGTCCGGGGCAGGTTGGGGCCATCGGGCCCCTGTCGGCGATCGATGGGCGATTGGGGGTCGCTGCATCCCCCCCTATGCCCCTGACGACGGGGCCATTTTCGGCTTCCCAAGGCCCTTGCCGGGCCTCGGGATCGTCAAAAAACGACTCGGGACGAAAAACCAGTCCTGGGGAAGTGGTCCAGACCTCTGGAGCCCACGCATCGAACAAAAATGGAGCAGCCCGATGTCTGTGAGGATCCCTGCGATACGGAGCCCAGGGTCTCGCGATCGATGCATCCCCCCCTATGCCCAGCCCCCCCTATCGTTGCCCCTGAGACCTGCACCCGCACCCCGGGGGCGCCCTGCACGGCCCTGTGGCCTGGCACGGCCGTGGCCCACGGCCATGCCCCCCCTACGAAGGAGGGCGGGCGGCGCGGCAGAGGCAGCGCCACGCGCCGCCCGCTCGGTCCCAGGTGCCGCCACTGCCCCTCGTCCTCGTCGTCCTCCTCCTCCTCCTCATTCCTCCTCATCACCGCCTCCGCCTTACTCCACTCCTATCCCCCCTTCCTCCCCTCCCCCCGCCCCCTCCCTAACTCATCCCCCTCCCTCCCCCCTGCACCTCCTCCTCCTTCTGCTCCTCCTGCTCCTCTCCTCCTCCGCCTCCTATGCTGCTGCTTGCTGCTGCTCCTTCTCCTCATCTCATCTCTCCTCCTCCTCCTATCCTCCTCCTCCTCCTCCGTCTCCTCCTCCTCCTCCTCCTCCTCCTCCTCCTCCTCCTCCTCCTCCTCCTCCTCCTCGTTCTCCTCCCGCTCCTGCTACTGCTCCCCCGCAATCCGCCAACTCTTCGGCGTGTGTGCCACGCTTTCGTCGTCTTCGTCGTCGTCGTCGTCATCGTCGTCCCCAGGTCCCGAAAAAAAAACGAATCGAGAGAAGAAGCGTGTAAGTCGAGTCGACTCCCTCCCCTTTGTCCCCTCACTGACGGGGGGTGGGGTGGGGTACAGGGGGGGTCCACCCCCGAAACAGGACGAGAGTGATGTCATGATAGGCTCGAATAGGTATACCTTCCAGGGTACCCAGGGAGTGCCTGGCGGCCCTCGTCCCTGCTGCCCGTGCGGAATCTTCGGAAATCTGGGCAACCCTGGAACGCATCGCTCGAGTACAGTCGGGGCGTTGACCTAAGGAACCCTAAATGGGGAACGAGGCCCCTTTTTTTTCCAGAAGCTAAAATTCGATTCTCCATCGAAAACCTACGGACAACCTAAGGCAAGCTGCGACACAATTAAGGAGCACGGAGCCCCTCCCCAACGAAAAGGGTTCCTTGTTCAGCGCCCCGACTGTAGGGGATCGTCTGCGGGATCGATCTACTCCAGACGCGACTCCTCCGCCGAAGCCTGCGAGAAACATACGCCGAGGGCTCTCCACAGATCTGCAGAGCCCTCGACACATCTCTTCGCAGACGCGCGACGGAACAACAAAAAAACACGCCTGGGCGAAATCGTGTCTGCACAACTGCGGCCGATTGGAGACGGCACGCGAGAGGACGCAAGGCCCTTCCGAGGGACACAGATTGCCACAGGAATGCAGACGGCGCGGGTCGCGAAGCACAGGACACGAGGGCACCCTTGATTTGGCAGGGCCGACCTACTAATCAGCCTCGACTGTAGTCGAGATCCCCGACTCGAACCATGATCATGACCCCCTCCCCCTCCGAAGATGAAGGGGCCCTGGGACACACAAAGAAATACACACAAATAAAGAGGTTCCCCATATGTTTCCCATGTTTTCTGGGTTTTCGATTTCCCTTCCACTTCCCATAGTTCCCCATATTTTCTGGGAAATCGCCGATTCATTGTGTCTGTGTGTTTTCTCCCCTCCTGAGAAGAGCAGGCGGCGCTGGGCCGCCCGCCCCCCGAAGCGCAGAGGCGAGGGAGCGGGGCAGGCACGCAAAGATATGCGCAGGCTCAGGACGTGCGCCCGTCTGCGCGGACCAGGGATCGCCCTGGACGGTGTTTCTCGTCCTCGCTTTATGTCGGGCGTGTCCCCTGTACAGGGGGATTTTCGACGAAAAATAAAACATACCCCCAACATACTCCAAAAGGGTAACAAAAATACTCCAAAAATAGTCCCCCGACTATTTTTGGACTATTGTTTGATTATGTTTGGGGTATGTTTTATTTTTCGTCGGAAATCCCCATGTAGGGGGACAGGCCCGACTTAATCCTCGCTTTGTGTTCCTCTTCCCTCGGTGTGCGCTCAGTCCACCCTTGCTGCAGAACGCAACCGAAGCGAAAACGGCCTGCGACATCGCCCAAACACCTTCCAGGGCGACCCCTCTCTCACGGATCGGCGCGGGACCCTCTTCCGGCGCGCGGGGGGCACCGCCAGGGTTAAGTCGGGCCTGTCCCCCTACCGGCCGATTTTGAACAAAAGATAAAACATAGTCAAAGCAAAAATGCCATGAAATATGCAAAAATGGTCAAGCAATCGTCCCAAGACTATCTGTTGACTATTTTTGAATTTTCCCCCTGTAGAGGGACAGGCCCAATTTGGCGCCAGGGGGGCCTGGCGCAGATCAACGACATCCGCGCAGGCCGTCAATTCTTCAGGTTTGCGAGGGTGCCGAAGATACACGCCGGGGCACCACCTCCGCCCCCGATCTCCTACTCCACCCTCTTCCTCTCCCCTCTGCTGGGAGGAGGGCTTGAAATCGGCTGCGCGCAGCAGGTTCCCCAGGTACGGGTGACCGTTGGTGCGCGGCTTCGGGGGACCCGTGGAGGCCAAACCCGAGTGAGCAAGCAGCCGCTAACGCATCCTATTCAGCCATCTGGGGACCCCGCTGTCTCCGCACCAAAAGTCACTCCAGCGAACGGCCATTCTTACCCGTAGCCGGTGAGGAAGGTGGTGGTGGTGCACATGTTTGCAGCCTGTTCGTCGAGAGAGAGAGAGAGGCGGCGCCCGCGCCTCCTTGTCGGCCTCCTGCTTCCCCCCGCGCTCCTTCTCGGGCGACGCGCTCTTGTCGCTGGCGCTCTTGCCGCGCTTCTTGCCCCCCCGCTCCTTCTCGGGCGACGCGCTCTTGTCGCTGGCGCTCTTGCCGCGCTTCTTGCCCCCCCGCTCCTTCTCGGGCGACGCGCTCTTGTCGCTGGCGCTCTTGCCGCGCTTCTTGCCCCCCCGCTCCTTCTCGCGCGACGCGCTCCTGCCGCTGGCGCTCTTGCCGCGCTTCTTGCCCCCCCGCTCCTTCTCGCGCGACGCGCTCCTGCCGCTGGCGCTCCTTCCGCGCCGCTTGCCCCCGCGCTCCTTCTGGGGCGACGCGCTCTTGTCGCGCTTCCTGCCGGCGTCCCGGCCTGTGGCCCGGCGCCCGGGCGGGCGGGGCGGCGGGCGCCAGGGAGGACAGGGCGGAGGGGCAGAGGAGGGTGTCATTGGGAGAGCGAAAGAGAGAGAGAGAGAGAGAGAGAGAGAGAAAAAAAAAGACAGAGGGAGGAACAAATAATAATAATGATGATAATAATAATAATAAGAAGAAGAAGAAGACGAAAGAAGGTTGTTGAGCGAGAGAGAGAGAGAGAGACAGAGAGACAACTAGCAAAAGAACGCACGTAGGACGATCATGACGAAGAAACAGCGAGGGTGATGCTTGTTGATTCTGCCCACGTGATCGTCATCAGGCGAGACCGCCTCCCCCGCCCCTCCCTCTGGGGAAATCAAAAGGTACCGATACCGCTAGTCCCCAGACCTCTCTGGGGGCGCGTCCTGACCAAGATTTCGAAGCGAATCCAGCGGTGCCGACGAAGGCTTCCCACGAGATCCCAAGTAGGGGAAAAACGAGGCAAGGGTAGCGGTATCCGTACCATTTCGGGGGCGCGCAAACATGGACTAGCGATCCACGGAATTGGCGCGTGGTGGCCAAATCCGTGGATCGGGGGAGGTGCCCTCCCCAAAATGCGGCGGGTGCCGTCTCGCTCGGCGGCGGAAATCCGCGACTTCCCATGGAAACGGGACCCGTCGCTAATCCACGACCCTTGATGCGGGACGGGAAAATGACCACAGCCATTGCTTCTTGTTTGCGCCGCCTTCCAGCTGGCCGAAAAAGAAGCAGTGGTTGTGGTCATCTCCCTGGTGCCAAGCTCAACGAAAAGGACCACAACCACTGCTTCGTTTCTGCTGGCTGGAAGGCGGCAACAAAAGAAAAGCAACGGCTGTGGCCGTTTTCACGCCCCGTAAAACGCGACCCGTCGCGGCACGCCCCTCGTGTGTTCCCGGCAGCGGGACCCGTCGCTAATCCACGACCCTTGATGAATGCTTGCGATCGCCTGACCTCTGCCTCCTCGGATCCTCCCTCCCTCGGCTCGGGCGGCGGGACCGGGATCGCCCCGCTTGCCAAGAAGGCTGTCGGTGGCGCCGGCGGCTGCCGGGAACACACGAGGGGCGTGCCGCGACGGGTCGCGTTTTACGGGGCGTGAAAACGGCCACAGCCGCTGCTTTTCTTTTGTTGCCGCCTTCCAGCCAGCAGAAACGAAGCAGTGGTTGTGGTCCTTTTCGTTGAGCTTGGCACCAGGGAGATGACCACAACCACTGCTTCTTTTTCGGCCAGCTGGAAGGCGGCGCAAACAAGAAGCAATGGCTGTGGTCATTTTCCCGTCCCGCACTCTCGGTCCCGCCGCGACCCTGAGATCCATCAGCGCCCCTCTGACTCGATCGGGGGCCGACCGTCCCGGCCTTCCTATAGGCCCACCACGAAGCGTTCTCAGGACCCAAAGACGCCCTCCAATAACAACAGCGATGTGCTCGGAACATAGCGCCGACGTGTTAAAACAAGACAGCCCCAGCCAGAAGTGTTCTAAGAACATTTCGTGTATACCACTAAAGGTTCTTAGAACATTATTTGGCGGGCCTATAGGCACGTCGAGACGCTTCGCCACTGCTCGAGTAACGAGGGCTCCACTAACGGGAACTTTGGCGAGTGGCCTGTCGACACCCGTCCTCCCCGATGTTGGTCACGATGCAGTGCCAGAAAGCGGCCCTAAATGAGGCAACGTTCGGCAATCTTCCAAAATACCCATCCGTGAATGCCCATTACGGTGCCGCCGAATCCTAGCGTTGCGATCTTTTCACGCAGGGCGTTTTCGCTTCATCACGGGCCCTGGGGCCATCATAAATCGATCCGGCTCGAGAAATGCCGTACGGAGATGGGGTCTGGGGCTCCCGTCGCGTTATCGCGATGTTTTCTTTTGCCCCGTAGCGTCGGATCTCAAGTGGTCCACTTCTTCAGCGAAGGACCGTCGGGCAACCTGGTGGTGTTTCCAAGGCTGGCATCCAAATTCCTTCCCCTTTCTCCCTCGGGCTCCTCCTCCTCCCCCTCCTCCCTCTCCGACTACCAACATCTCGTTCTCCTCCTCAATCTCCTGTGCACGCGATCTCCCCCTCCTCAGTGTCCCCATCCTCTCTTTCTCCTCCTTCCTTCCCCGCCCCCCCACCCCGCCGTTTTTTTTCCGCCGCCGCTCCCACCTCCGCCTGCTGCTGTTATTTCTCGTTCGAACCCGCATTCCTCTTGGCGTCCTCGTCGTCCTGCCTCCTCCTCCGTCCCTGCTCATTACAACGAACTCCTTCCTGTGTCGCGCCCCCACGCGTTCTGGTAGCGCGGGCCAGGCGTTCCCCCTCGACTTTCCCACCACTCTGGCTCCTGGAGCTCGGAATTCGAAACAAGTTCACGGATGAAGGGACGGCCATGTCTAAACTGTGGTTCTCGCCGCAGCGCCAGGCACATTGGCTGTTTATTGAAAAAATGGATGGAGGGCGGGCGATGTTCACATAGGGGCTCTCGTTTTAGCGCCGCGCGCATTCGTCGCAAAAGTTTGCAACAGCTTCACGGAAGGAGGTCGGATCGCTTTGAACATTTGGCCCTCGTCTTAGCAGCGTGCACGTTCTCCTTGAATGATCGCAGGATCAAAAAATGAACGGCGGCAATGTTCAAACACGTGGCTCTCGCAATCGCTCCGTTCAAGTTCGATACGTCAGTTTGCAAGGATTACATAGGTTCGCATGGCCGAGGTGCCATGAAAAGGCGTTCTGGCATGCTCTAGAACTGTCAAGAAACAATCAGCACGTTGACTGGCGGTGATGAAGTCCCAAGACTGGTGTGTCTGGCGCGATTCAGGATTGTGAGGTCGCAGCCGTCACTTTGTTTCGAGAAGCTGACGTCTAGAAATCGCGTTTCGACACGATTAAGGATTCTCAGACAGCTGTCTTCCAATGAGACATTTGCCTCAATGGGAAAACATTCCTGTAGGGCTTAGGGAAACGGGAGCCTGGAGGGAGGGGTATATTGCAAAATCGTTGAAGCGTCTTGGGTTTGCACTGGTCCTCCTCCTGGGCACCTGGCACCTGACGGCATGAGTCCTCTGGACGCTGCCAACGCCCCCCCCGCCCAACCGTCTGGTGTGCGCGGGGGGGCCTGAGGGAAAACGGCGCGAACGGCAGTTGGTGGGGCCCGCGAGCGGGATGCGAAGGAGACGGCACAGAGTGGAACCGAAAAGGGAAGCGAACCGAGGGACCGAGCGGGCGAGGGAGGGACACGAAAATCCTCGACGGGGGGCCGCGGTCCAGGCTGCGCGCAGACCCAACAGGGGGTCCTCCTCCTCCTTTTCGTCGCCTCCCTCGCATCCTCCCTGGCCCTCCGTCACCTTCCCCCCCGGCCGCGTCCTCGTCGTCTTCCTCCTCTTCCTCCTCGTCCTCCTCCTCCTTCTCCTCCTCCCTGACCGCATTGTCCTCCCTGCCCCTCTCAACGTCCCTGAAACTCGTCCTTGGTCTCCTCCTCCATCCGCCCTCCTTTCCTTCCCCCCTCCCCGTCCATCCCTCCCCTCGTATTCCTCCCCCCTCCCTCACCATGCCCCTCTCTCCCTCCCCCGCTATTCCACTCCCACCCCCTCTCTCCTCAATTCCATTCGTCCCATCCCTGCCCCTTCCACTCCCTGCCTCCTCCGTACTCGGGAAAGCACAAGGTACTGACACCCCTACTCCCCAGACCTCTCTCTGGGTGCGTTCCGACCAGAAGTTCGAAGCTAATCCAGCGGTGGCGACGAGCGCCTCCCAGGAGGCTCAAAAAGAGGTAAACGAGGGAAGGGTGGCGGGATGCACACGCGTCGGTCAGAAGAAGTCGGTAAAAGCATGAAGTGGGAAAAAGGATCAAGTAGATGGGGTCCAGGCCCTACCAGGGGCGGACCGTCGGGCAACCTCGGGCGCATCGCAAATGCGGCGCGATCCTCCGACCCCATCTGCTCGGACCCTACCCCCGAGGAGGAGGGGGAGGAGGAGGAGGAGGAGGAGGAGGAGGAGGAGGAGGAGGGGGAGGCGGAGGAGAAGCAGGAGGAGGAGGAGGGAGAGAGGAGGAGGAGGAGGAGGTGGAGGAGGAGGAGGAGAAGGGCGAGGAGGAGGGCGAGGAGGGGGAGAAGGAGGACAGGAAAATGAAGGGAGAGAGGGGGAGGAAATGAGGGGAGTAGGAGGAGGGGAGGAGCGCATCCCCTGGGATTCGAGGCCACTTGCGACAGCGACAGGGGGAGGCGAGGAGAGGGGGGACGTGAGATGAGAAGAAGAAGGGAGGGAGAGAAGGAGGAGGAGGAGGAGGAGGAGGAGGAGGAGGAGAAGCAGGAGGAGGAGAAGGACGAGGAGGAGGAGGAGGAGGGCGAGGAAGAGGAGGAGGAGGATGAGTAGAAGGGCGAGGAGGAGGGCGAGAAGGAGGGCGAGGAGGGGCAGAAGGAGGACCAGGAAGATGAAGGGAGAGAGGAGGAGGAAATGAGGGTGAGTAGGAGGAGGGGGAGGAACGCATCCCCCAGGATTCCGAAGCCACTTGCGACAGCGACAGGGGGAGGCGAGGAGAGGAGGGGATGTGAAATCAGAAGAAGAAGGAGGGAGAGAAGGAGGAGGAGGAGGAGGAGAAGCAGGAGGAGGAGAAGGACGAGGAGGAGGAGGAGGAGGAGGGCGAGGAAGAGGAGGCGGAGGAAGAGTAGGAGTAGGAGGAGGAGGAGGAGGAGGAGGAGGAGGAGGAGGAGGAGGAGGATGAGAAGGGCGAGGAGGAGGGCGAGAAGGGGCAGAAGGAGGACCAGGAAGATGAAGGGAGAGAGGAGGAAATGAGGGGGAGTAGGAGGAGGGGGAGGAGCGCATCCCCTGGGATTCCGAGGCCACATGCGACAGCGACAGGGGGAGGCGAGGAGAGGAGGGGAGGGGACATGAGATGAGAAGAGAAAGGAGGGGAGAAGGAGGAGGATTTTTTGACATCCACGCACCGCTGCCCCAACAATAAAACAGGATGGGCGAGTTCCTGCAGTGACGGTGCTGCCTTTGCACGCCT